TTTGCAGATTTTACCGAACATTGGTTGACTCTGCCAATATTTTAGCATAGTCTGCGTATTTCTAGATATTAGCAGAATCTGCTAATACATCGGTAGAGTCTACTAATGTTTCTGTAGAGTCTGCCAATATTTCGGCGGAGTCTGCCAATGTTTCGGCAGAGCCTGTCAATGCCTCGGCGGAGTGTGCTAATGTTTCGGTAAAGTTTGCCAATGTTCGGCAGAGTCTGTGTATTTTTAGATATTGGCAGAGTCTATGTATTTTTATATATTTTGCTTTTATTGGTAAAGTTTGCCAATACATCGGTAAAATCTGCCAATGTTTCGGCAGAGTCTGCCAATGTTTCGGCAGAGTCTGCCAATATTTCGGCAGAATCTGCGAAAGACAATTTTAATATTATGAAAGAAAAAAAAATCTTATTCTAGCTATTTTTTTTTAAAAAAATAGGTTATACTAACTAATCTTCCTAATTAAAATAGTAAAAATTAGTGGTAATTTACCACTATTTTTTTAATGTCTTATTTTTATGAAACTTTAATCAGTTTTGACCATTTATAGTTTTTTTATCAATATTTTCTGCTAATTGCTTTTACTATTTTATATCAATAATCAGACCTATTATATTGCAAACTACCGTAAGATGCTAACATCACAAAATATAAAACAATTTACCGTGGATATATATATATTTTTTATTGTGTTGGTGAATGTGTTGCTCTTCTAAAATTCTCACGAAGATCATATGAGAAATAACATTGAATAAACATGATGGTGGGTCCAAAAAACAAAAATTGTGACATAGTCGAAGTAGGTGAAGAAAAGAAAAAGAAAAACTTAAACATTGTCGATTTAATAATGATTTATCTGTCTGATTTAAAATCTTAATAGATATTTTCAACTCAAGTTTTACTGGCAATAAATGAATATCTCAATCTTCTTATGTATTTTGTTAGGTTTCATTTTGCTTTCAATATGGAATAATCTTTATATATTAATTGGAGAATAATTTTTTGAAGAAAACTTACATGTTTTCACCAAATTTATTCACACAATTTTACTATGACATGGCATTGTAAAAAATATGACATGGCATTTACACCGAACTTTTCAAAAAATCGGCCTAATATTCACAAAAATATATTGCATATAACCAAATCTCTTTATGTTAGCACAAATCAATTATTAACCAAACCTCTTTAAAAATCAACTAAAATCAATTATTAGTCCAATTTCACTACAAATCGGTCCAATATTCACAAACATATTCTTCATATAACCAAACCTATTTATATTAGCCCAAAATTTTAGAACACATTTTCATAGAAATGAATTTTTACTGAAATTTATGAAAAAAGAATTAACAAGTTTTTTAAAAAGATTTATTATGTTTCGTGACAAAAAATTTTCAAATTTAGAAAAACAAAATATACGTATTCTTAAAAATATATATATAACATAAGACAATTTGAAAATAACAAAATTATTTAAGATAAAATGTATCTAAATTTTATATCTTTATATTAAATATATATATATTTTTTTTTGAAAAATCAAAAGTTACATATTTTACATGCTAATATTTAAAAAGCTAATATCCAACTTTTATATTTTAAGAAAATAAGTTTATACATTGTGATATTATATTTAATGTTTAGTAATAAAACACTGTGAAAAGTTCAATATGAAATAAAAAGATCAAACCATACAAAATCATCGTTCAATGAATGAAATTGATTTTTAAATCTTATATTTTTCTAATTATCCCATATAAAAAAGAAATCGTTTTTCTTTAACAAAATATGAAAAAGTGCGAGCGACGTTAACCATAATAAAAATAGAAAACAACAAAAGTTTGGAAAACAGAAGAAGAGGAAAACGTAGTGTACTTCGTTCACGTTGTATGAAATTTTTTTTTTTTTTKTTTACGAAAAGGTTTTCACATTAATCTTTTCATAATTCGATGTCGAATTTAGTTTTTATTCAAAATTCTATGTGAAGAAAATTACATATTTTTTTTAAAGATAATCAAATAGAGGATTCAATCTTTTCAACTTTTGATAATAGATTGTGCACTCCAATATATTAAATTATTATATATTTTATTTGATATCTTTACATATATCAAATAATGAAATGGTAAAACTAAATTTCCAAAAATTTATATTATTAACAAAAAAAGTTTACAACCAAATATCAACAACAATGTCTATAATAAAAATATAAATATTTCACATTTTCAAAGTGTAAAATTCCAAAAAAAAAAATCTAAATAAATTATCTGCGTCTACGCGGAAGAGTCACCAAGTAACATTATAAATTTCCAATCACATGTGTCATATTTTTCTATCTAACATATACATTCTCATTAATTTACACGTTACAGCTATATGATCCACTCAAATATTTGAGCTTGCATGGTTATCCAACGCATTTCAATTTTTTTTTCTCATTTACACTACATTAATCCGATTTCACCAAACAAATGTTTTTTTTTGGATCACAATCCGAATTCACCAAACTATATATATATATAAATTTCTCTTTCGAGAACACAGGTGTTCTTTAACCAAATTATATTGATTAATTAATTATTCTATGGTAACAAAATCTTCATTATCAAATGGTTGGTAGCCTAATGATTTTGAGAATAAATTATCAAGTTCAAGATCACTAGTTCAACTCCACTTGAGATGAATTATTTATGTTTTAAATACGGTATTATCAACGCTATCCCGGCACCATACAAAATTATGGATCAAAGATTTGGAACTTCTAAAAACTTTCCAAAAAAAAAAAATCTTCGTTAATTTCCATACCTATATGGCTATATCTATGAAACTAACCGTCCATCTCTTTCAATTTCTGTTCGTCTTTGCATTTAGTATCGGTTTGGTAGAAACTTGTGAGTTTGTTTTTGTTTGACATAAAATATGATTCAAAAATTCAAATTTTAATTTAGAACAGTGATATGCGTTAAAAAATCTTGAAAATTTAAGAAGGCGAAAACGTGCTGAAGTGCCATATAGCCTTTATATTTTAATATAAGGTGTTCATATGATAAAGACACGTACATTTTTTGACGATAAATTTTAGTATAGATTATTAGATCATATTCTATATGTAGCATCGGGAACAAATATATATGGTAACCCATAATTGATTTTTTTATCAAATTCGTTTCAAAGATACGTGAGTTCACGACTCCACTAAGGCACTAACCTTCATAACTTTTTGCAAGTCTAATCCCTCCCAAATCGTCCACAAAATATAATATGTATGTTTTTCTAAAAAAACACTCTATCTGTTTCAAAATGTAAGTTGTTTTGGTTAAAAGTGCGAATATTAAAAAACTACTTTTCTTCTAAAAAGAACATCTTACATATATAATAAAAATAATTTAACCAATAAAAAAACGACTACGAAATACTATTGATCACACAATAATCAATAAAATTAAAAAGTATCTAGGATTATCAAAACAATTTATATTTTTTAAAACATAAAAAAATTCTAAAACAATTTATATTTTGAAACGGAAGGAGTATGTATTTTTACTTTGTAACTCAAACCATCAAAATGAAATGCAAAGTCTCATTAATTTATACATAGTGACGTAAAAACACTATTAGATACATCATACATCTACGACATACGAATACGATCTTGTTCGTTAGTCGATCGAAAATTAAACATGCACCACCATCAACGTGACGAATAGAAAAAGATGTTAGCTATTTAACTACGCAATTTACCCGGTAAGACGTAAGACAACCTCACCATTACTGAGAAATTATAGTAATGTCACTACATTAGAAGATCATATACTATGCAATTAATCAATCTTATATACAGAAAAGTGGGCTTTAATAATTTGGGTTTTTAAAGAGTCAACAATGGTTGCTAGTCCGATTGAACTCACAAGCTCGTGTCTCAAAATAAATGTTTTCAAGAGATATAAAATCTAAATAAAAAAATACGAAAAATATGACTTAGTCGTATTGTCTATTAAATTGGTTTTGAGTAGAAAATATATGGAGCTTCATATTGAATCATTTTGAGTACCTATGAGATATTTTTCTCGCATCATTTAGTAGTTAACATAGTATATAGTATGAATGTTTTGTGTGTTTAATTAAATGAAAGAATATGAAGAATTGTTATCTCTAGCTTGATATTATTGAAGTATACTCAGTCTTGTACATT